GAGTCGACTGCTGGTACCAGTCATGAATTGTATATAGTCTCACAAAATGCCATAGAACACTGAAAGCCATGTCTTCATATTCCCTTTTACTTTTGCCAATACCAGGGCTTAACCTCAAGGCCTCAGTTTTGCTAAGTTTTGCTTGCTCATCTGGTACTCTACCACTTGAGCCACACCTCCAGCTCTGCTTTTTGATGGAGATGGAGTTTTGAGATTTTTCTGCCTGGGTTGGCTTCCAATCTCAGTCATCCAGGTCTCAGCATGACTCTGATCCTATTGTCTGCCTCCTGGAGTACTGTCCTGTTCCCTGCTCTTTTCAAGTCCTTTGCCTCCAGGCACTTGACTAATTATTGATGCAGACAGGTGACCAACAGTGCTTCAGATCTAGCTCCCTACCACTTCATATATTCCCAGAATCCATGACTGCCCAGAACATGTTCCAGCCAAACCGAACCCCATCTACCTGATGAGTCCCTTTCTCTGGGATAGTCCTTCCCTCCATCCTTCTTTCTCACTTGTACTCTGCCTTGTATTTAAGTAGATTTGTGATGCCCTTCTGTTTTGACAGGTTCCAACCTCTTTAGTTTTAGAAACTAAACTTGTTTTATATCTACTTCCCTGTGTCAAACCAAGGGCTTTTCATATAGCAGGTGCTGAACAAGCAGATATTGAATTAAATCAGTACCTCCAAGGAACACTTTGAGAAACCCAATTAGAGGAAACTGTTCTAAACCTCAGCCTAATCATGGTAAATTTCCTGTAGGTTTCCTTTAAATCAGTAGAATCTTTTTTGTTTTGTTCTGATGTGTTTTTTTTAGAATGCTTATAGGATTTTGGACAAGTAATTTTCCCACCCACCCTCTATATTGTTAGAATCATATTTAGAACAAAGGATTATCTTAAGTATGAAATGTTACCAACATTGTTTTAGACTTTGTAGACATTTTAAAATATATTTTCCCTCATTCTTTCACTAATAAACTTTGCTTTTTGAATAGTCATAGATTTACAGAAAAATTAAAGCAATAATACAAGAAGTCATCTATTATTCCCACCTCCTCCTCTCCCTATTATTAGCATCGTACATTAGTATGGCACATGTAACTAATGAGCCAATACTAATACATTATTACTGTGATTAGCAACTACAAGGCATATTCTTAGTTCTGACCTAGTGTCCTTTATCCTGTCCAAAATCCAACGCAAGCTACTATGTTGCCTTTAGTGTAATGTCTCCCTATATTCTTCTCACCCACAACAAATACCACTCACTCACTCAGAAAGGTGATGATCTCAGGTACTAACCAGGTAGAAATCATCAACAGGATTTTGAATAAATAGGTTATATATTTATTGAGTATTACTCTGTAATGGGTCATAATTATATAAAGGTCATAGATAAGGGCATGCCAAAAGGTTATACAGAGTAAAGCAGAATCCTGGGTACCATTTACATTTAGGAAGAATCCAAGATAGAGAAGAAAAGGAAAACCACAAAAAGGTCATCTTACAAAGACCAGAAGAGTAAGAAAGAAGAGTCCTGACCCAATGAAGACTCTTCCTCTGTGATTTAAGACATGTTCTATAGCCTTGAAACACTAAAGGCTGAACTTTACCTAAGACTACATATCACAGACACATGAACTTTTGTTTTGTTATGTTTTGTCAGTCATGGTATTTGAACTCAGGCCTGGGCACTGTTCTTGGGCTTTTATGCTCAAGGCTAGCACTCCACCACTTAAGCCACAGTTCTACTTCTGGTTTTTGTTTTTTGTTGTTGTTTTTTTGTTGTTGCTTTTTGGTGGCTCATTAGAGATAAAAGTCTCTTGGACTTTCCTGCCCAGGCTGACTCTGAATATCAATCCTCAGATCTTCAGCTTCCTGCATAGTTAGGATTATAGGCATGAGCCACTAGCTCCCCATGACATGTAATTTTAAACATGCAAGAATTTGTGAGAATTTTCCATAATCAGGATAGAATAAATAAGTATGTAGAAATGATTCTTAAGAAACCAATCTTCCACAGCAGGATATCTTCACCTTATCTAAGAGAAATTACCATTTTAGAAGGAAATTGAATAAAGAAGAAATATAGATAACTATTCTATCTATAAGGAGTATTGGTAATCGAAATAAGATAGAACCCAAGCCAGTCAAACCTGCTCACCATAAAAATTTATCATAGATGAAATGGGTCTAATTCATAAAATTAGAAGTATAAAAATTGACTGGGAATATATTCTCACTTTAAAACATTCAACAAAGGTTGAAACAAACAATGGCTAATGCTATACACGGTAAACCTGCTACTAATAAATGACACACAACTCAGACCTGTTTAGCAAAATGTAAACTTTTAGAACTGATTCGGGAAAGATATACTTGGTAGAGTAATAACCACAGATGACTTTGAAAGAACATATGGACCAAAAAATGGGAGAGGATATAGCTACAAATTTGCATGGAAGAGGACACCTATCTGTGATAACTTTAGTAAGAAAGAAAATGCAAAAATTGGGGAGGAACTTAACTGAAATATGTAGGAAATTGAGAGATTTTCTAGCCTAAATTAGCTCTAAGATAAACATACTGTTTGTGAATTTCATCTGTTTTCACATTTTCCTGTCAGGATTTTAAAGAAAAAAGAGCCAAACTATTCCATAACCTTTAGACTTCATAGGACATCTAAAGTAGTAGAAGTCCTGACTGTAAAATGTCATCCTAGACATGTTCCCAACTCAACCTGAGTCCCTGACAGTGGCAAAGAATGCCTGATTGATGGAGAGGGAAAGAGACCCCATTCCTGGAAGGGCCTTCATACTTCATTTACTAATTCATTAGCTTTGCATCATCTTGTCTCAAACAAGAAATTAAGGCACCTAAAGATAAAAGTGAACAACAAAAACAAAAACATGTTCTAAGAACAACTGCTTTTCCCCCCATGTCTCTGGAACTTACTAATAACTCCTTTCGGGGATTGACATACAGAGACCATTAAAACACTTCTTTGGGTGACATGATCAAGATGTACTGTACTTATATATTGATAGGTTGAGGGGCTGGGAAGGTGGCTCAATGGTAGAGCGCTTGCCTTGCATGCCTGAGGCCCTGGGTTCGATTCCTCAGCACCAGGTAAGCAAAAAGAAAAAAGCCGGAAGTGGCGCTGTAGCTCAAGTGGTAGAGCGCTAGCCTTGAGCTGAAGAGCTGAGGGACAGCGCCCAGGCCCAGAGTTCAGGCCCCACGACCAGACCCCAAAAAAAAAAAAAAAAGAATCTACAGAAATGTAACCCCAGGCCAGGCACAGTCAACTCAATATGGAATGTCTTCCAAACCATTGAAGTATACACTTAAAAACAAAAACATGTTTTAAGAACAACTGCTTTTTCCCCCATGTCTCTGGAACTTACTAATAACTCCTTTCGGGGATTGACATATAGAGACCATTAAAACACTTCTTTGGGTGACATGATCAAGATGTATTGTACTTATATATTGATAGGTTGAGACATGTGCTAGTGACTCAGTGGCTGAGATCTGGGGATTAAGGTTCAAAGCCAGCCAGAGCAGGAAAGTCTTTGAGAGGCTTATCTCCCATTAATCGCAAAAACAAACAAAACACTGGGAAGCTGAGCTGTGGCTCAAGTGGTAGAGCACTAGCCTCAAACTGAAAACACTCAAGAATGCTCAGATAGCACTGGGGAGGGCGGGGCAGAAAATGGTGGAGGAGGAAGAAAACAAAACTGATAGGTTGAATGAAACCCCTTTGCACAACTTCTTAAAGACAATTTAAAAGAATAGAAAATACTGTTAAATTTCTTCCCAAACACACTAGTTCTAGGCCATATTTAAACTCCTTCCATACATTGCTGTAGTTATTTTGAAGTAAATGTCTAGCTATACATTTTCTTGCCTTCCTTTTTGGACGAGAATTGTTGATATGTGTTTGCATCCATCTGGCATGCTTCTTGATGGAAGGACTTGGATGGGATCCAAGAAGCCAAAAATACCTTTAAAATATATAAAAACAATTTGAAAATTTCTGACGTTCCAAGGAAGCGGCTGGAGTGGTCAGTCACCCCTGTGCTTTCTACTACAGGACAGAAAGGAAATTCAGTCTGTATTCTCAGGAAGCTGTGTCAATAACCTGTTTTCTTTTCCCACTGTATCTTAAGTACAATAGCAAGAAAAAAAATGAAACAGACACAGCAGCAGCACCTTGTGGGGTGAATACAGGGGTTTGTTTTCCTAATTCCAAGTCTTGTTCATGGTACTCCAATGAACCAGCATGTTCCTAATTGGTAATCTTTAAATAGCACGAAGCTCATTTAACTACTGATTACTTTCTATGTCCCTACTATGTGCCAGACTCTCTGCTGGGTGCTGGTTATATATTGATGAGTAGCGATAAGCATCTTACCCCTCCCCCAAACATCTGTTCTAATGATAGAGGAGAAAATTGGAAAAGAAGTTTAATGACAACTATTGAAGAAAAGGTAGAGAGAAAAAAAAAGAAAGCCTGGTAGGATGAGAAATAGAAAGTGAGAGACAGCTTCTCAGAGCAAGTATTTTATATTAAATTAGATGACGAGAAGAAGCAAGCAAGAGTCAGGGTGGGAGAGTGTTCCAGGCAGAGGAAAGAGGGATCATAAGAGCAGGTCAGGTGGGTGCTCATCAAGGAAGGAGGTGGGGTGGGGATAGGGGGAGGTCACATAGAATCTGGGAAACCTTTGTGCTGACTTCAGCATGTTTCTTCATAGAAAACAAGAAGTTCATTCCTACTGGCCACTGGGCCAAGAATATATTGGAAAAGAATCTACAGAAATGTAACCCCAGTCCAGCCACAGTCAACTCAATATGGAATGTCTTCCAAACCATTGAAGTATACACTTAAAAACAGATGATAAAAAGACAGCTTTTACCACACCAAAATAACTGATATGGGCAGGAATTAGTGTTCCTTAAATCCAGCTTGCCATTGATACTATTCCTTCCTACCTTAGACCAACAGGAGCTCCAGGGAGCAATGAGCAGTACAGTGTGGGCATGGTGGGGACCCACGGGCTGGAGACCTCTCACACGGACACTTTCAGCAGCAGTCTTTCACGAGAAGGAACCTTGATGATTAGAGAGGTAAGCTGCTGTAACAACTGGGAAGAGGACAAGCATTCTTTTTTTCTTTCATTTTGCCGGTTATGGGGCTTGCACTCTGGGCCTGGGCGCTGTCCCTCAGATCTTCAGCTCAAGGCTAGCACTCTACCACTTGAGCCACAGGTGCCACTTCTGGTCTTCTGGTGGTTCATTGGACATAAGAGTCTCATGGACTTTCCTGCCTGGGCTGGCTTTGAACCATGATCCTCCGATCTCAGATCTCATCCTCCTTAGTAACTAGGATTACAGGCATGAGCCACCGGTGCCCGGCTCAAGGTGACATGCATTTCTTAAGTGTTTTTTCTACTAGTGCTTTCTCAAGGAATGCTGACAGCATCTATTTTTAAGCATGGAGATGGGGGGGCCTGGGTAGGAAACCTGGCATCTAAATGGTTGAGCGATTTTAATTGTCTGCTGCTTTCTTTTCTGCATCTTTCTAAGCTTTTGCAATGTGACTTAATTACATTAGTCCAAAATTTTTAGTAGGAGCTATGCAAATTGGAATCTAAAATTTTAGCCTGAGGATATAGAACTGGCAAACCCAGATGTTCCCTATAATAGGAAAGCAGAAAGGAATGATCTGAGTAGGACCAGTGGTTTTGTTAGCCTCCTCTTTCAGTGGTTTATCCTTGTGAATTCCATTGGAGAAAATGCTCAGTAGTTCTAAGAATTCATTAAATTAACACTTGAAAAAGAAACCGAAGTTATTTTGTGCCGCGGACCGGGTTCTGTCGGGACGACGGAGGATACCTAGGGGAGGAACCTGGAATAGGATGGGGAGATGGCAAACAGACAACTCACACACATTAGGAGTGGATGCTGAGTGCTGAGCGCTGAGTGCGATTTAATGCAGAGAATAGCAAACTTTTATAACAAAAGTCTCCATAAGAAAGGGCAAAAGGTTACACAATCTTGCTGCAAGGCTTCGTTCTTGGATGGTCACCAGCTGGTCGCCTGAAAGGGCAAAAGTTTACACAATCTTGCTGCAGGGCTTCATTCTTGGGTGGTCAACAGCTGGTAGCCTGAAAGGCACTTGTTTCCAGCTTATCTCTAAGAAATATAATGGGTTTCGACGTTTGTCACCATTTAACCATTATCTTATTTTTATAGAGGCCTTAATTGTCCCATAGGATTTTTTCCTTCCTGTTCCTTCTTTAATAATAAGCACCAAGGAGACTTAGATCTAGCAAGTCTCTTAGTAAATGAGAGAGTAGTAGGAAGTTTTTTCTCCTAAGTAGTTATCTCAGTAATTGCCATACATTCCTTCTGTTCTAGTTGCCCTACAGCTTCATGTAAGTTTCTTACAAACAATTCCTTCTGCTGAAGTGACTTTGTGAAAACCCCCAATACTTTTTTCCTTAGGGGGGTTTTCGGGTTGGCCTTTACTTCGGTTGGTTTGTCATATTGGAGTCGTCAACACTCTTCAGAAAGAGCTTTGTATAGGGAAACGTTGACAATGAGCAAGTACAAAGAGCAGTAGAAACAGTAAAAGATTAATAGGCACTCTTATGAGGAAAAGATAGGCAGAAACACATCTTTTCCAGGGGTTTTGCCAGCCTTTTCCCAGGAGTAGGCCTCTTAGAAGCCCTATTCTCCGAGGTAGACTTCGGTGAAGTCCCAAAACTCAGAGATAGGTCTCTGAAGCCCCTATCATGGTCTGATAGATGGTTTCCCATGCTAAGCAGACTCCACTGGGGTTGGCGTGGCAATTTTGGTTGACAAAGAAACATGCAGGTTTACTGGAAAGTGCACAGTCGCATTTTGGGTAATTGTTTAAGTCTAGGAATATTGTTACATGTGGTAGGAGGCATTGTTCCCTTTAACCTGTCCTTCCTGCATGCAGAACTCCCTTTTGTACCAACCAGAAGGACCCCAATGGGAATCTATTCTCATTTCATTATCACCTTGCAAGTTTGAAAGCTGGTTCTTTATTTGAAAGGAAAATGACTAGTAACTTTATGAAAATGTTATCTGACCTCTCCTTGCATCTGTTTTGTCATCTGTAAACTTTCACAGATAATAGCACGTAACTTCTAAGATGGCTGAGAATATTAAATGAGTTACTTCACAGTTTCAAGTATTGCATACATAATGACTATTTTATTTTCACTCACTCTATAAATTGAATTCTCCTTTGACCTATTATCACAGAACACTCTCCCCTCTGAAACTCAAACATGTCATCTGCAATTCTCACAATTCTACCAGGATAGAGTTGAGAAACCCCAACAGCCTACTTTGCACTCCAAAAAGGCACGGGGCATTTCATATTCATTAGGAAGAAAGGAACTGAAGTTTTGAGATGAATAATGCCTTTGAAGTAATCATTGGCAACGGGGTTATCACTAGAAGACTAGTTCACAAAGCAACTTGCTAGAATTTCATTTTACAGCCTTGTGGAATCTTTCAAGTAAGCTTTAAAGAATCCTTTCACATATGTCTAGAATGAAAAATGGACTTGGCTGCTGGAGTTGACATTGTAGCCTGCTGGTGTATAAATCTCCCAGTGTGGTGAATGGATCATTTCATAGCTTTAGTGACTACAGCTTGCTACTTGAGGAAACTTGAGAAAGGATGTTCTAGAGTGAGGTCTTTAACGCTATATAAAATGGCTGTAATCTCTAATGTGGTTTAAAATTTGCCTGAGTCTTTACGATGAGACAGTACCTCCAAGTAGGCATTTAGAGCCATACTTTTAGTGCTGCCAGTCACATCCAGATGATTCTGCATTATTCAAAACCCTGCAGTATTCTACAATGACAACCAATCACTTTAAAATTACATCTACCAGTGTCTTACATGAGTTTGGCCTACTGAGAGACCCTCAGATCATTTCATTCTCTCAATTTACATATTCTGTCTCTTCTTCCTCTTTCACAAGATATTCACTACATTCTAGTTCAACTGCTAGCAGAAACTGACCTCGGTTAGAAATCTGATCTCACGTGACTCAGGTACCCACTCCAGGTCCAATCACTTGTGGCCAGGAGTACAACACTTCAGTACTACAGTTCAGTGCAGAATATAAGGGCTCTTCCTCCAGACAATCCAGGTTTGAACCCTGGCCTTACCAAATAGAACACTTGTTACTGGGGACTAGTTTTTAATTTCTTGTGGTGCAGTTTTTCCATCTGTACAATGGAGATAATGAAGTTTTGTGAGGATTCAGTGGAATATAGTACACAAAGTATTAGTGCAGTACCTTGTATATGCGATACCTTGTAATGACCTCTAGAGAAATTCAGTATTTCTGAATGGAGGGGAGAGGGAGGGATGGATTAAGAGAGAGGCAATTGTGAAAGCTAAGAAGTCTAAAGAGGGGCTGGGATGTAGCTCAGTGGCAAAGCACTTGCCTAGCAAATGCGACATCCTGGGTTTGTACCCAGTACCAAAAAAAGAAAAGACAAAAATGAAAACAAACAAACAAAAGAAGTCCAGTGATTTGTCTTCTGCAAGCTGGCAACCCAGGACAGCTGGTGCTATAAACCCCAGGGCAAGGGTAGATGAAGACTAAGTGTCCCAATGCAAACTACAGACAACAACAACAAAGCCAACATATTCAGGAGAAGAACACAAAGGTACAATGCTTATGTGCCTCTGATCATATAAAATACTATTGTAATAAAGCCCAGAAATGGAAACAAGAAGTTGTTTCTTTGTTAAAAACAGTAACAGCTGAGTGCAGGTGGCTCATGACTGTAATCCTAGCAACTCAGGAGGCTGAGATCTGAGGATCGCGTTTCAAACCCAGCCCAGGCAAGAAAGTGCTCATGATACTCTCATCTCCAATTAATCACAGAAAAAGCCAGAAGTGGCACTGTGACTCAAGTGGCAGAGCACTAGCCTTAAGCAAAAGGAGCTCAGGGACAGTGTCCAGGCCCAGAGTTCAAGCCCCAGGATTGGAAAGAATAAAAACAAAACAAAACAAAAACATGATTGAGCGATTGGATACCCACATTAAATGTAAACATTATTTCTGGTGTGCCTTTCAGAGTATTTCTAGTGATCAGATCAATATCTAATTGGTGGATCAGTAAAGCACATAATCATTCTTAAAATATACAGAACATCTAAGTGTCATACGTAGGGAAATGGTAAAGGCACAAACACCAGAGGTATTGTTGGGGCTCTCTAGATGCAGTCCTGCAGGGCAGGGCTGTTGTTCATGTTTGTTCATGTTTGTGTTCCCAATAGAGTGCTTGGGCACACAATATTTGCTTAATATGAAAGTGCTGGTTGAATGAATCAAGTGGTCATGACTCAGAAGCAGGCAGATTCAAGGGTCACTGCTTCAGGTTTCTCCCTGTCTGGGCAACTTCCCCTGTTAGCCATTGCTTTTGTTCATCAATGTGCCTAAATCAGATTTGTTTTTGATTTTTTGGCTTGGGAAAGAATACTATTGATACAAGAAGCTAAAACCTTCTCAAACAATAAGATATGATTTACACTATTGGAAAGTTGGGGAAAATGTTAAAAAGCTTTTTTGTGTTTGAAGGAAGGAAAATGTGCCCAGTACACATAAAAGCAGAGCCAAAATAGGATTAAATTCCCAAAATACCATGTAGAAGATGAAATTTCAGCTGTATACTGGTACACACTCCAGATGAACATTGTGATCAGATAAATCCAGAGAAGGCCTGATTTAGTCTAGACCCAGGTTGCTAAAAAGCAGGACACTACACTTCAATTGTTTCTCAAGCTGCCTCTTAATATCAACTGAAATTCAGATGCCTAGGAGCCTGGAGAGAGAGAGAGAGAATAAACTATTACTTAGAGCCTAGGGATCCCTAGCTGTGGCCCCACTGAAGCGAGCCCTGAATTCCTAAGCAAACTTGGGTTCTGACCCTAGCTCTCTGGTTGACTCCCCTGGAGCACTGACCTCTGCTGGAGCACTGGGAGGGAGAGAGGGAGGGGAGTGGGAGGGGAGGGGAAGACAGGAGAGAAGAGAGGAGAGGAGAAGAAGGGAAAGAGGGAGAGAGGGAGAGAGGAAGGGGAGAGAAGGAGAGGCCTGTTTCCTGTTATTTACAGACAACTGTAAGGCCAAAATAGGCTCTGGAAGAAAGAAGCTAGGCCAAAGAGATGGTCAAGAAATTAAAGAAATGGCCTGAACCCTTGTGTATCAGCTCCAAAGAGGGTAGTGAGTGTCTGCCTAGCGTCAAGCTGCTCTTGTTTAGCACAATGTTTCACCCTAATAGAAACTCAAAAACTCTGAGACAAGTAAAGAGAAAGGGATACCAAAGAAAAGAGAACAAAATAGAATAGAAATAGTTCTAATTTAGACATTTCTCAAATGAAAACCTACAAATAGCCACCAGGCATATGAAAGAAATGCTCAACATCTTTAATCACCAGGGAAATGCAAATCCAAATCACCTCACTTCAGGTAAGAGTTTGTTTTTTGGTGCCAGTCCTGGGGCTTGAACTTAGGGCCTAGGCCCTGTTCCTGAGCTTTTTTTTTTTTTTGCTTCAGGCTAACATACCACCACTTGAGCCACAGCTTCACTTCTAGTTTTTTGGACATAAGAGTCTTACAGACTCTCCTGCCTGGGCTGACTTCAAAACCATGATCTCAGACTTTTGAGTAGGGAGGATTATAGTGTGAACCACCAGTACCCAACAGCAGTTGTTATTATAAAAAAAGAGATAGTGCTGGTAAGGATGTGAAGAAATGTGAGGATTAGAGGCATGAGCCATCAGCACCCAGCTCACCTGTACATTCTTTGCCACAGTATTCAGAGAAGCAACTTATATGAGTAATATCAGTAATATGATATATATATATAACTTATATGAGTGGATAAAGAAAATGTGGTATATATACACACTTGAATACTACTGAGAACTAAAAGAATTAAACCCTATTTCTTGCAACATGAATGGAACCAGAGATCATTCTGTAGGGTAAAATAAGTCAGACCTGAATAGACAAGTCCTTCATGATCACATTCTTATGTGGAATCTAAAATTTCATCTCATAGAAGAGTAAAATGGTGGTTAGAAGAACCTGGGAGTGGGGTGGAAGGGGCAATGGAGATAGTCACTGAACACTTGGTTACAGTTAGATGGGAGCCAAGAAGGAAATGACAGACACTAGTTACTCCTACAATGTGGATACTACCCTTTGAGGCTCAGAGTTGTCTTTTAAATTTGCCTTACTATTTTGGGAACAGGATGCTCTCCACAGTGGTGTTTTCCAAACATAATAAGTCATGTAACCCTATCAGTAAATGTTTTAGAGAAAACACATACAACATATCCAGTGTAGTCCTACCATATAAGCATATACATTATAGAATACTCAAACACCACTGGTTCATGCCTATAATCCTAGCAACTCAGGAGGCTGAGATCTGAGGACCGCAGTTCAAATCTAGCCTGGGAAGGAATGAAACTCTTATCTCTAGTTAACCACCAAAAAGCCAGAAATAGAGCTGGTTCAGGTGGTAGAATGCTAATCTTGGGCTTAAAAAGCTCAGAGACACATATTATTCACAAAGTTTATAGATCAAGATGACAGTTTGCCTCAGGAAGGTTAGAATGTGTTTGTGACTAAGTATCACTATCTGACAATACTGTGAAATTTAGGTAATCAATCACAATAAAAAAAATTTTTTTTAATCCCAGAGACAGTGTCCAGACCCTGAGTTCATGCCCCAGGACAGGCTATCAGCAATATTTCAAATGCTTCATTAGCCATGATGACTTCATTTTTTACTGCCTACATCACAAAGCATTATGGTTACTTACTAGGACATTGAACATTAATGACAGTGGTCGTCTAGGTCAAACTTTTTGGAACTTCTAGAAGAGCTGATTAATCATTAGTTAATCATTGTTTTGACCTTGTAGAAGATAAAGAGCCCTGTGATTTTGATATTATTTCTGCATTTTATTGGACTATAATTGTGGATTATTAGTATTTCTTCATCCCAGTGCTCTTTTCAGTATTATTTATTTATTTATTTATTTTTGTTGGTTGTGGGGCCTGAACTCTGTGCCTAGGCACGCTGTCCCTCAGTTCAAGGCTAGCGCTCTACCATTTAAGCCACAATGCCACTTCCAGTTTCCTGGTGGTGTATTGGAGATAAGAGCCTCATGCACTTTCCAGCCTGGGCTGGCTTCAAAGGATGATCCGCAGATCTCAGCCCTGAGTAACTGGATTACAGGATTGAGCCACCGGTGCCTGGCTTGCTTAATGTGTTTATTTCTTAGGTAGAATAGAAATTTGAGTGTTATCTTCCTACACACTAGTGAGTCAGCTTGAAGTCCCTGGCACCTACACTGTGTAAGGGGCAGGTACTGTTCTGTGACCTTTTTTTCCCTCACTCAAGGTCTCTGTGTGTTATGTCCTTCAGACAGCTGGAGAGAAGAAGCGATCTGGCCATAGTGACAGCAATGGCTTTGCTGGCCACATCAACCTCCCAGACCTGGTACAACAGAGCCATTCCCCAGCTGGTACACCAACAGAGGGCCTGGGGCGTGTTTCCTCCCATTCCCAGGAAATGGACTCGGGGACCGAGGTAGGTGCTGGGCTATAGTCACAACAGTTCTGTTTTCCTTCATGGGATCTCAACCCTACTGCGTCCAAGAGAAGGCTTCCTCCAACTCCTGATGTGTGTTTGGTTGGTTTCCATGTACAGTTGCTTATGAAAATATTCAAATAGAAAAATCATACATACAAAGCAGTGAAAAGTTCTCAGATATCATCTGTGCCAATATGAGTTCTGAAGCTCAGATATGTTAAGTAACTTGGCTAAAGCTAAAGTTTGGGACAGAGACTGGACCAGAACGTGGGCTTACTGTGTCAAAGTCCAGTGACAGAAACTGTAGCTTGTGGGGCTGAGAAGGTGGCTCAGTGGTAGAGTGCTTGCCTTGCATGCCTGAGGCCCTGGGTTTGATTCCTCAGCACCACATAAGCAAAAAGAAAAAAGCCGGAAGTGGCACTGTGGCTCAAGTGGTAGAGTGCTAGCCTTGAGCTGAAGAGCTGAGGGACGGCACCCAGGCCCAGAGTTCAGGCCCCACGACCGGACCCCCAAAAAAAGAAAAGAAAAGAAAAGAAACTGTAGCTTGTTAAGATTTCCAGGCCTACCAGTTGAGATTAATAATCAAAACTGAGTAAGACTTAATTGATAGGTTCTTCCTCCAAATTGCACAAAAATGGTCCCAGGAAAGAAACAGAATGAACATAATCAGGCAAAGCTAATGGATGCCATTGACTAAATGAATTCAAAGACATGGTTGTATTTAGTGATTGGTCCCATGAATCACACATTAGACCCTAAATGTTTTTATAAATCATGTGCACGGTTGCTTTCATACTGAATCTTCCTGATGCACCATTTGGACTCTACAGTTATATAATAAATGAGTTTTGGACACCTCCCCAAAAAACATTCAGGCCTATTATAAACTACAGCAGACTATGGTAGCTTTGTGCGGCATGGACAGACATTTTCTGCCTACATACCTCCTTCAGTACCAAGGAGGCTCTCCCAAGATGGAGCCCTGATTCAAATTCTGCTGCTGCCCCAGCTATAAGTGGGAATATGAGTATCAGTTCCACTTTCCTTATAGACTTCTAAACATCAAAGGAGAGAATACAAGTGAAATGCTGTTTTGGGGAGGCAATCTTACAGAAAAGGAGGGTTTTTTTTGTTTTTGTTTTACTATTTCTAAGGCTGGAGGGAAAATCTTTTTTTTTTTAATTTTTTTATTATGAAAATACCATAGAGGAGTTACAATTACATGGGCAAGATAATGAATACATTTCTTATCAAATTGTTGCCTCCTCCTTTGTTTCTCCTTCCTATCCCTTCCCATATCCCACGCCCCCCAACATCCCTCCCTTTCCCCTCCCCAAAGTTGTAAAGTTGTAAAGTTTGTTTTTCTACATAACAACTTGTACATCTCATTGTTGCAATGGGTCCACCTGTATCCCTAAACAATTTTTTTCCCTTCCCCTCCACAAATTATACCAACATCAAATACAGTGAAATCAGGGGTTGTATCGTGGGGGAGGGACATACAAAGCAACAAAGAAATCATCTTATATTGTTAGAAACAATCACATGAAAGTAAAAAATTTAAATACTTATATTGGGGTTCATTTCATCTAACATCAACATATCTGACTTTTACTGCTTGTCTCAGACATATTACTAGTTATTACAAATAAGGGAAAGCATGGGGCCTATGTTTCTTTGGGCCTGGCTTACTTTACTTAGTATAATTTTTTCCAAGTCTTTCCATTTCCTAACAAATGGGGAAATGTCATTCTTTCTGATGGAGGCATAGAATTCCATTGTGTATATATACCA